ACTGTACAGTCTCAGATCAGGGGTGTCCAATAGCCGTCAGGATCTGGTGTATGCAATATTGCTGACATATATGAGAATAAAAGGAAAAGGTAAAGAGATTCAACTTATTTGGACCCCAGCTCACATAGGTATTTTGGGAAACGAGAGGGTGGATAAGCTAGCCAAGCAAGCAACTAAAAAATATAAAATTGAAGTATATATAAAAATGTCAAAAGCTGAAGGGAAAAGTATAGTTTGGAAAGAAGCTGTGACAGAATGACAACAGCAGTGGGATAGGGAAACTAAAGGGAGACATTTATATGGCATTCAAAATAAAGTTGGAACGGAAAGGAACTGGGGAGGGCCTAGAAGAGAAGAAACGCTAATGACAAGATTGAGAATTGGACACAGTAACCTGAATAGTACATTACACATTATAGGGAAGCATCCTACTGGTTTTTGTGAGGTTTGTCAGACACCTGAAACCATAGAACATGTGCTTATAAATTGCAGAAGATATGAAGAACAACGGAGGAAAATGATGGAAGAATTAAGAAAAGGAGGATTGGGTGGAGCAGGGATAAAAGATGTATTGAAAAGTGGCATGATTGGGCAAGGCAAGAAAAGCATTCGTAATTTCCTAGCTACTACTGGTTTGCTGGGTAGAATATAAGATGTGGAGGAAATAATCTGGAAATGGAGAGGAGAAACTTCGAAGGAGAATCATCCAGAAGGTGGCGGTAGTGCAACACTTACGGATGCAAGTCGCCGTTAAACTCCAAAGAAGAAGAAGAAGAAGACTGACGTCATCACAAAGCGCGGCGCGGTATTTCTTTCGCTGAATTCAAACATGTTATTATGATCCTTCACTTCCCTGTAGATCCTTCACTTCCCTGCTTAAGTTTTTTGATTTTCAAGCGGTATTGTTCGGTGTTTCGCGTGTGCCCCATTTCTTCCAAGTGGCTTGCTATTACGGCAAATACTTTTTTATTTTGAGTCGTGCCATCCAAATCTCGCTGGATCTGTTCATCCGACCATATGGCAATTAAAGCCTGTGTTTTTCGTTTGTCCATCCTTCCATTTTACTCTTTAAATATTTTTGTTTCTACTGCTTTTTATTTCGTTTCTCGCTGTTCGTTGTGTGTATTTTGTGTTTCAGCGGCAGGCTATTTGCATAACCAATCGACAGCAAATACTTTTGCAATTCCCACCCCGAAGTACCAAAGAAGTACCCCAGCTGGTTTGGCACTTTCGGTACTCGAACTTTCGGTACTGGTACTCGACCGGAAGTCAATGGAAAAGCTAAAGTATCGTAGCAAAAGTACCGTACTTTGTGCGGTGGAAAAATGCCCAAAGGAAGCCTTTGAAAAACTTAGTCTAGTCAGCTAGTGTTAGCTGGCAAGCAAGAGGAATTCGTTGCTCTGCCTTTTGGTCCGAGTAAATCCTGTTTGTATTCCTTGAGCTGGAGCATCTCATGTAGCAGAATGACTGTCAAGCACCTACAATAAATATCTATCTAACTTTATCGCTACAAATTTAGTAAACATACAAGTAGTTCAAGCAGACCGTAACTGATCCGCGATCATAACGGATCCCCCTCGGTACGGATTTTTGTGAACCTCTGTGTGTGACGATTATGTAATATCTGGTACCACCTCCATGCATGTTTGCATAACGTCATGTTCGGATTCGCTTGTGGAGTTCACGTGTTTCCGTCCCTCTAGTGGAGATCCTCCTGGTGGAGGTCTGCAGCCAGACGCTTCTCGGCAGGACAGGGGTAATGTTGGGATAAGATCTTTATTGTTTTGGAAGCCATTAAGAAAAAAATGCTCTTGTTTTATCCTGTTCATTTTGTGTTTAAATGCTAAAAAAAAAAACATATTTAGGTGTAATTTTGGGGGGCCGGGAACCAATTAATTGGTTTTCCATTATTTCTTATGGGAAAAATGCGATCAGAAGGAGTCCGGAACGGATTAAGTTCGAGAACCGAGGTACCACTATACATGAAATCTCTCTTAATCGGATCACGATAAAATCTATCTGTACTGACCAGCTACAAATAGCTGCTTTCCTAAATTTTTTTCTACAGCGATGAATTATAACACGTAACATAGACTTTCTATGTGCATTTCACAGTGCTGTTAAAATCCAATTGTTACATTATCAAGAACATGACATTGTGGTTTTTTTTTTCGCGCTGTTCTGTTTTCTGTGCGCTAGGAATTGTGGGATATGGAAGTGGTAGTACAATTGCACGAGCCACCATCGTTGCTGACTCGCTTCAGGAGGGCATAATCAACCACTCCCCCCTAGCCCTTGCTGCTTTGAGACACACTTCAACATGGCAATGGGTCTCGGGAACGCGCAAACGAAGGCAGAGTGATGAGGCAGAGTGTGTAGAGACTGGTTTGGGATTGGGCCATCCATTGACTGGCAGGAAGTCCAGTGTTGGTCCGGAAATGACGTCACAGATCCACTCTGAAGCACACATTACTGCTTTACAGCAGCTGCTCCTTCTCGATTTTACAATTTAGTTTATTAGTTCATTTAAAAATGGTTCGTAGTTATCACTTGTTTGTATGCATGTATTTCTAAATTATAAAGACTATTATATTTAAAAATAGTTTGTGTTTATCACATATTTGAATTATACATTTTTAAAAGTAGTTTGTACTTATGAAATTACAAGTAATGCAATTCTTAATTATTAATTCAAAAATATTGTGTACTTATCAGCTGTAGTCCTGACTGCGACTGTCAATAGTGACCAAATTTTTTTTGTTCCCCTCAGAACATTATATTGAAGCCTTAAAGGCTGCAAAATTATGCTTCTCTCAGAGCTTTTCTCCATATACATTATCTTAGAATAACAGAAGTATTTCCTACATAAATAAATCACTATACATAGATAAAATGGCAAACAACATTTTATTTGTAGGCAGTGTATTGATGTATAAATAAATTTGAACGAATGTGCAACAAAGCGGTATAAGGAACAGAATAAAACAATGAGGAAGAATGTGGAAAACAATTCGTATTACGCAAACATGGCATGAAGTTTAAGACCCATCCCATCAACACAATTAGAAAGGAAGGTTTCCATGTCCTCCCTATTATGAAAAATAAATATAAATGGGTCATTTCTATTGTCACTTTGACCCTCCAGGACCTCCCTGAGTGCTTCCTGTTGATCCTTAGCCTCCATCTGGAGAACAGCAGGTTCTGTCACCATTCCACAGAAGAGAGAGTGATTCTTGCGAATCCAGCACACGGCACTGCAGAGGTCCCTCATGATGCGCGACTCCTATATGACATTGGAACTGAATATCATGGATCGAATAAGTTAATCAGATGCAGCTGGTAGTCAACAGGAAAACCACCTGAGAAAAATGAGGAACACACACACACACCACTATTACACTTTGTAGAGCAGTCAGTTACAGCTTGCCCACCAGGTCTGAGAACAGCAGGAGTGCTCACCCTTGAGAGAGGCTCCAAGTTCACTTTCAGCAGGTGTGAAGCTTTTCCAGTCCAAAAGGCAAACCTCTGTCCATGTCTGAGTAGTAGAAGTACACATCACTTACATTGAGATATTGAAACACTAAGTCTTGGTAGTGTTTCATCAATGGTGTCATTAATATCCATATATGTGAAACCTCTCCATTAGCTGAATGCACTACCACTGACAAATTAATGGAATATTACCCTAAAAATATAATATTCAGCCTCCCTGCCGGGCTTCACCCGGTATTCTATATCTGACAGAAACCTTCACAGCAAAGAAAGTGCACTTGATTCTGCATCTGAATGCATCTCAATGTAAAACACAATGCTTTACATACATACTTTTCCAGACCACTGCTCATCAGTTAGGCACCACCATTTCCTTATCTTTGGCATGTCAGATTGAATATAAAAAGACAAAAACCATGCATTCAGAATGTTTGAAAGGACACCTTTCTTCGTATAGATAACTAGCATATTTTTACAACACATCCTGAAAGTGATTGGGAAGAACATCATGTATGAATTTATTAACAACAACAACAAAGTCACAAACTCATTGGAATCTCTAGCATAAGACAAATTACTGGTTACTTACCAGCCATGCTAAATACGCCCTTCTCATGGAGGTCCATTACAACCACTGGAGGGTAATAGCCACAGTTTACACATGTGTACATTTATGCATTTATGGGCTTTTGAAGGAGGGAGATTATTTGAATACAATTCAGCAACCCAGCAATTTGAGTCAGGCTAACCTACACTTACTGTATATATGCATTTGAGTGCATTTGTTTTGTTTTGGAGTCCACCATACTTTATGCACGTTTCGGTGGAACTACAGTGACGTCATTTCCGGGCCCACAGTGGACTTCCTGCCTGTCAGTGGATGTGAGTCTCAGTGGATGTCTGCAGCCAGACCCTTCTCCATGTTGGCGCTCATTCCAAATAGGCGAACGTCCTCCTTACTCACGTAACTTAGCCACTGACCGAGGACCACGCAGCAGTTTGAAGAGTAAATGAACAAGAGAACTGAATCCAGATCGCTGTCCTGGCAAAAAAAAGTTCCCCTAAAGGACAAGCTCTGTCTCGGTCCCCCGTCGTTTTCCCGTAGACTCCGGTTTTCAGTCCGACCGCACACACGAAGCTCAGACGTTTGTGCTGCTAACCGACAGGCTTCCACGGTTATAGCCAGCTAGCGGCTAGTTGCTGTCCTGTGAATCGCTATCTCCATCGTGGAAACAAAACATTTCTTGACAGAAACCTCCCAAAAAATGTGCAGAAAAAAAAAACCATATACTTAATATTTAAACGTTACATCAATAATTATTCAAATCACTTAATATAATTATAACTACTCTTCTCTTAAAAACACTGCCCTTATTTCCATCACCACACCGTACCTCTCCCTCTGCTTTCTCTCTCGAGCGCCCCTCAACAAGAGCCTGGTTTCAAAATTAGTCTCTCATCAGTTCCTACTAAGGGTACCATAAAGGGCACAAAGAATTGAATAACAAGTAAATATTCTTAAGCAAACTCAAACACTTTTCTCGTTATGAACATTTCAAACAGAAACAAAAGCATATCTCACAGGTGTGTTACATAAAGTAAAATGGACAAAAAATTGACATTGTGTCAGGTATATTAAGATTATATGTTTTTCTTTCCCCATTTTCTTTATGCTCTTGGTGCTGCAATTAATATCATCTGTCCATTGCTGCCTTCTGTGCATAACTGTTCCTTGGATTGAGTGTTATGCAGTTATGGACCAAGAACCAGGTGTCTGGTGTCATGTCCGTAAGAAGCTCCTTTCCCCTTCATCTGACTTCTTGGTGTTATCAAAACTTCTGTTGCCAATGTTGAGAAAGCGTAGTCAGAACCAATCGCAGGGCTCCAGAGAAATGAGGAGCCAGGTTTATTAAAAAGAGAGAATCACAGTTAAATCACCTAAGAGTCAAAAGTCAGGTAAGCAGGACTTTAGAGAAACGCCACCAAGACATGGACTAAGCAGCAGAAAGAAGCTCTGCAGCTGATTTGTTCTTTTTCAAACTGCAAAGAACATCCACACTGGTGTCTGAAAGCCATGAGGAGATACAGACGTTACAATCCTCTGGACAAAAATCAAGGATTATTTTTACTGCTTTGCAGTTACTGAAGAATTCAATATGAAGAAGGGGGAGGTGAAATATTCAGATGTATCAGGCGGCTCCTCTGTGGGTTTTTGTCACATCGTCATCTTCTACCTGAGGAAGAAACAAGCTGCCTGTTAGCACAAGAGCAACGTGAACTACTAACCTTTAGTAACTACACGTGTAACACAGACCTGGACATAAATGCAGGATCCACAGTCACTGTCTTATGGGAGCCCATTTTACACTGAACCCAGGGGGCTGGAAATTAATCAGTTACTTTCCTAAAGTTATGACCAATACATTGACTTACTTCTGGTGACTTTGGCACCACAATCCGGGGTTGTATCCTGTCAAAATTGTAGAATGTAATTAATATTAATGTAGTCTGGTCTCAGTTCTGTGCATTTAGTATTTCAGATTATTACAGAATTTAATACTTAAAATGACAATGAACTTTTTTGTTGATGCCCAATAAAAACCATTTTTATAAATCCTCATACAGTGCTGTGAAAAAGCATTTGCTGATTACTTATTTTTATGTATATTTGTCGCACTTACATTTCAGATCAAACAAATTTTAATATTAGACAAAGATAACCAGAGTAAATATAAAATGCAGTTTTTAAATGATGATTTCATTTATTATGGGAAAAAAACTATCCAAACCTATGTGGCCCTATGTGAAAAATTAATTGTCCCCCCCATTGGCGAACCACGGCAGCAGTGGTGAACCTTCCTCGGAGTGACCGTCCTAACAAAATCACTCCAAGGGCACATGGACAACTCATCCAGGAGGTCACAAAAGACCCCAGAACAACATCTAAAGAACTGCAGGCCTCACTTGCCTCAGTTAAGGTCTTTGTTCATGATTCAACAATAAGAAAGACTGTTCAAAAATGGCATTTGTGGGAGAGTTCCAAGGCGAAAACCACTGCTGACAAAGAAGAACATGAAGATTCGTCTCACATTTGCCAAAAAGCATCTTGATGATCCCCAAAACTTTTGGAGAAATATTCTGTGGACTGACGAGACAAAAGTTGAACTTTTTGGAAGGTTTGCTTCCCATTACATCTGGCATAAAAATTACACAGCATTTCATAAAAAGAACATCATACCAACAGTCAAGCATGGTAGTGGTAGTGTGCTGGTCTGGGGCTGCTTTGCTGGGTCAGGACCTGGACAACTGCCTGTAATTGATGGAACCATTAATTCTGCTCTCTACCAGAAAATGCTGAAGGAGAATGTCCAGCCATCAGTTCGTACCCTGAAGCTCAAGTGCACTTGGGTTATGCAGCAGGACAACGACCCAAAGCACACCAGCAAGTCCACCTCAGAATGGCTAAAAAAAAAACAAGATTAAGGCTTTGGAGTGGCCTAGTCAAAGTCCGGGCTTAAATTCAACTGAGATGCTTTGGCATGACCTACAGGCCATTCATGCTTGAAAACCCTCCAATATGACTGTCACGCTCGCAAGCCGGGAAGCAGGCGAACAGAGCCAAATTTACGGGCAGAAGGGGTTTTAATCTGGGCAGAATGACGACACACATCCAACATGACATTACACCACGATGACTGATCTGGGGAAGACTGACTGAGACTCAGACTAAATACACAAGACTAGGCAGAAGGAACAGGCAACAGGTGAGTACAATCAGGGATTAACACGAGGTAACGAGGTGGGCGTGGCACACACGAGGAACGGACGGAGCTGGGCGTGACAATGACTGAATTGAAACAATTTTGCAAAGAAGATTGGGCCAAGATTCCTGCACAGTGATGTCCGAGACTCATTGCCAGTTAACACAAATGCTTTGCAGTTCTTGCTGTCAAGTGTGGCACAACCATTTATTAGATTTTACTTTTTCCACATAGGGCCAAGTAGGTTTGGGTAGCATTTTTCCCTTAAATTAAATCATCATTTAAAAACTGCATTTTTTATTTACTCTGGTTGTTTGTTGAATATTATTATTATTTTTAAATCTGATCTGAAACGTGTGTGACAAATATGCATAAAAATAAGTACTCAAAATACTTTTTTGCAGGACTGTATGTACTTATATATGTAATATTCTTACCATGTGCAGGTAATTTTTTTTCTTCTTCTTCTTCTTCTATATGTTACTGCTGCTATTACTGCTGCTGATGTGGCTATAGCAATTATAATTATTATAACTGTCAATGCAGTGTTACTTTTCTCTCCACATTTAGAATCAGCTGCTTGGTCTCCTGCTTTAACTGTGACAAGTCCTCTGGATTCACAGCTGTAAAAATAAGCATGTCTAATATGATGAAAAATATAATACAAAACTCACCGTGAAATAATGTTTCCTTCACCAAAAAAATCCTGACCACTGACTGACTGGAATTATGAAACTTACTCTGTGTGTGGTTTACAGGATGTAAAAGAGCCATCAGAGTATGAATAATCACTGCAGTCCTCACATACTGTATCAATGTATTCTGTTCCTGAAAGGGAAAAAAAATTAAGACCATTAACATATTTCAAGAATATGAACTAAATATTTGGTTTTACTCATTAAAACATACATTATCAGTATGGGTAATCCATACAAACCAGGCTGTTGGATGAACTGTCCAGGTTTGCAGGCTGTGTGTTTATTGGCTGCCCTGCACCCTCCCTTATATGGATTAATACAATAGTGCCCTTCCAGGACCCCACACACTGTATCTGAAGATGATGTACATGCCCTCACTGTTTTCAATCCAAGGCCTGTTTGCAGGAGATAATGAACCACATCATGATATGAAGATCCATATACAGACTTATTCTGTTCAAAATTAATATCTACAAAATGCAAGTTATGAATTCATGAAAAACCAAGGAAACTGTGGTATTCTCACCCTGGTCACAGACAGTACATGGTTTGCATTTGGTCAAACCGTTTGGCTCATCTGTGTAAGTCAAACCAACACATGGAACACAGGAAGTGCTGGACTGCCCTGTACAGTGTTTGTAAACTCTACTTCCTAAAAGAGAAATTATAGGGTGTTAAATGGGCAACCTTTAAATAAAGCTGTATTATTGGAAAGTTTAGGACAGGCAAAGTGCCATTGAGACCGATTCCCCTTCCAAAGACTCACCTTGAGGACACACAGGACAGCACTCACCACCTATTTCATACTCAGCCTGGTTACACGAATAACAGAGATTCCAGTTAAGAACCATGAGTATCACAGTCACCTGAGGAAAACAAATTAATATAATTCAGTATAGCTGTTAAACAGCAAGTATTGCAAACAAGGTATGATATAAACATGAATACAGTTGGTAGTCTGAAATGGGATGAAACTCTTAACATTGGTCATTCAATTACACGGACTTACAGCAGGTATGAAACCTTTAAAATTCAACATGGTGCATGCATTTCCTCTCAAGTGCAGTTCATGTCCTTCGTGTTGTCTCTGTTGCTATTCTCTTAGACTCCTTAAGATGCCAGCCTAGTGTAAAAGAGACAGTACATTTTAAAATAGTGTAACCCAAACAAAGACCATAACCCAAACAGTAACACTAAAGTCAGTGCCAAGCACTACTCAATAGTATTAACTCAGCTGGATAGAGTCCTGGAGTTTAATGCAGATTTAAAAAAGACAATTTGGCATCCAAGTTCAGCTTTGATAGTGAGGCTAGAAAATTAGAAAAGAGGCTGAGTCAAGTGGAAATGCGAAGGCCAATAAATGTGCTTTTACCAAAATGCTCTCCAGTTGTGACAAGTAACTGAGTTTTGTGCAGAGCAATTATTAAGGACATTATTATTATGTAATTCATAGCTGTGATTTAATAATCCTTTAACTATTTTCCCCAAATAGGCACTACTGTTGCAGTTTTAAGATCAAATAACACAAAACTGGATAAAAGGTCTTGAAATATTTCAACATCTAAACTAACCCATAACAGACAATTAGATAGATATAGATAGATCTTTATTGTCACTATTACAGAAATAGTGAAAAACAGTTTAGCAGCTCTCTGTTTAGCAGCATAAAAGTAATAAATAAGAGAGATCAAACACACAAAAAGAGACAGTCATCCTATTACAGAATGAGTGTCTTGTGCAATGAGCGCAGTATGTCAGTCCGTATAGAAGACAGTCATTGAGGAGGGTGGTTGATGGGCGCATTTGACTGCCTGTGGGTAAAAGCTTTTGTTAAGTCTCTTTGTTCTTGCTCTGGTTGACCTGTAGCATCTGCCAGGGCAGGGGGGGGGGAAGATAGTGTTCAGGGTGTGAGGAATCTTTAATAATTTTACTGGCTCTTCACTGGAGTCTGCCAGTGTAAATGTCCTTGATGGGGGGTAGTGCCATTCCGATTACCCGCTCTGCCGCCCTTACCACCTGCTGCAGGTTCTTCCGGTCTTCCTCAGTGCAGCTACTGAACCACACTGTGCAGCAGTAGGTCAGGAGGCTCTCGATGGTCAAGCGGTAAAAATTGGTCAGCAGCTTTTGGGGGAGGTGGGACTGACGCATCTTCCTGAGGAAGTACATTCTGTGTTGTGCCTTCCCCACCTGGTGAGAGATGTTTGTGGACCCCTAGGAACTTGAAGCTCTCCACCCTCTCTACCTCTTCTCCATCCATGTAGAGGGCAGAGTGCTCAGCCCGCTTGGCTCTCCTGAAGTCCACTATCATCTCCTTGGTTTTGGATGTATTCAGTTCCAGGTTATTACTGTCACACCATTGCCTCAGCTGCTGAACCTCCTCCCTGTAGGCTGATTCGTCATTGTTGTCAATCAGTCCTACAATGGTGGTGTCGTCAGCAAATTTGATTATGGTGTTGCTGGTGTGAATGGGAGAACAGTCGAAAGTGAAAAGGGAATAGAGGGGGCTGAGGACACACCCCTGCGGCGTGCCTGTGTTCAGGATGAGAGTGGAGGAGATGTTGTCTCCCATCCTGACGTTCTGCGGTCTGTTGCTGAGGAAGCCCATTATCCAGGTGCACAGTGAGCTGCTGAGGCCCAGGTTGCTCAGCTTTTGAACCAGCTTGTGGGGTCGTACTGTCGTAGCGGCGACAGCGGGCACTGTCACCTCATGGCCAGCAGGGGGCGCTGGTGAGGCAGACAGGGCAGACGAGACAGGTGAGGCAGGTGTGGCGGCAGCAGCGGGGAGCGCTGACTCGTGGCCAGCAGGGGGCACCTCAGCAGGCACCGACAACTCACGGCCAGCAGGGGGCACCGCAGCAGCAACTGCCCCAGCAGGAACGGCAGCCGCCGGAAGAAGCAGGATGGACAGGGCAAGTGGCGCCGGTGAAACAGCAGTGCAGGCAGTGCTGCAAGCATGGTGGCAACAGCAGGCGTGGCAGCAGGCAGAGGCGGTGCAGCCGGAGCCTCAGGCGGAGCCACAGCAGGGAGCTTGGATGATGTGGCAGCACCCACCAACTTAGATCCAGCAGGGGGCACCTAAGCAGGCACCTCGCGCATGTGGCCAGCGGGGGCGCCGCAGCGGGCACCTCAGCGGGCACCCCGGGCGTGCGGCCAGCAGGAGGCGCTGCAGCAGGGGCCATGTGCACGGCAGCAAGAGGCGCAGCAGCAGGCACAGGCAGGTCAGAAGCGACAGGCCGATCAGGAACAACGGGCGCTCTGATTTGGGGTTGGCTGCGATGGAGAAGCCCCGGAGAGAGCGAGCGGTTGGTGCCGCTTCTCTGTCACCCCTTCCACCAGCTGCCGGAGATTTTCACGCACGTCGGCTATGACGTGCGCCAGTGAGCGAGGTCATCTCCTGAATTAGGGTCCCGCTCTTGCTGGCTAGGTCCCGTAGTCCAGGGTCCTCACGGACCTCTGGCAGGTTCAGCCAGTAAAGTACCTCGCTTAGCAGTTCGAGGCGTTGGTCATCGATCCGCGGAGGTGAGTTGTTGAGATCCGTCATTATGAGACGACGGGCGTGCGAGGCGAGCGGGGAAACAGGCAAGCGAAGCCATAAATATGAATAAACAGGGTTTATTCCGGGCTAACATGAACGAACATTACGACACGACAATGACGGATCTGGGAAACAAAGGAAGACGTGGACTAATATACACAAGACAGGCTGAATTCAACAAGCAACAGGTGAGTACAATCAGGAATTAACACGAGGTAACGAGGGGGGCGTGGCACACACGAGGATCGGACGAGCCGGGCGTGACATATACTTTAAGACCGCACAATGACAAAATTTTATTTTATTTTGTTCAAAAAATGATGTTTCATGAATAAAAATGTAGTATAGTTTTTAGTGCAACCTTTGTACCGCTGCTGATTTGTGTGCATGCGTGCGCGCGTTGTTTTTTTTTTGGGGGGGGGGGGCTTTCTCATCGTCTAGCCCAGGGACCCACGGACTCATAATCCGTCCCTGGGTGTACAGGGTATTTTCCCGGTCAGCCGATAGCGAACAGGCAAAATGTGTCATGGGGATCTCCCCCCTCTGCAAAACTTACTGTAGAGCAGTAATGGGTCAACCCATGGGGCTAAGGATGACGTTAAAAGTTTCTTCCAGTATTTTAACTCTAAAAGAACTCTAAAAGCTGAAATTACTAATCTGCAGGATAGTAAGGGTCTTATAATTGAAAACGACATTGACATAGTAAATGAGTTCAATGATAGTTTTGCACGGGTATTCACTGTCGAGGACACTAGTAACTTACCAGTTCTTATTACTAATCCAACATCGTCTATAACTAATATAAATATATAAATATATATATAAATATATATATAAATATATATATAAATATATATATAA